TTTAATATATTATTTCAAGTTTGAAACTTAGAATGTGGAATGGTCCAACAAAAATTATAGTTCATAGATGTTGATAATTATAGTAAAACCTAGATCAAAATCAAATTAATACTAATTCAAAAAGAAAATCAATTCAATACTAAGAGTGACAATAATATTGAACATTTATTCTTTAATTTTACATTGGTTTAGATAATTAAAATACATACACTAATTTTAGTTTTCCTTAAATATATAGTAATGTAACTAATACTTATTAAACTTATTTTAGCATGATTTAGTAATTTTAAATTATATGACTTTACAATATTTATTTTATATAATGATTTCATTTTTATTTTTAATTGAATATTTTTGTGTCATCAATACTCATCTCATATTTTGTTTTTCTTTTTTAAGAAACACCTTAGATAATTGTATTTTGGTTGGACTAAAAAAATATTTGAAGCACAAGTTATTTGTATGTTCGTATGCAAACTTAAGCAAGAAAAAAAGTCGAGGTTTATTATTTGGTTGATTTATAAATTTAAAAATTCGACACAATGGTTTGGTTTGGTTTGGTATTTGAAAAACCCGAAAAAATCTAAATTTTATTAGTTTGAATTGATTTATATATTTAAATTTTTTATACAAATGGTTTGATTTGATATTTAAAAAAACCTAACCAACTCGGTCATGTACACCCCTACTTGAAATTTGAAACCTCAAAGTGAATTTTAAGCTTCCTAACCCAATCTTTAGTCTAAAGTTCTAGGGATATATTCAAAATCCATATATAACCTTATATGTAGTGTGTAATGGAAAAATTACTTAGATTGGTACCTTTTAATAAATAATTAGTGATATTTTTCATTTATTATCATTTATAGCAACACTATAATAAATCTGCGATATGTATTAAAAGTGAATTATGTATGCAATATATATGTATTATAAATGCTTTGAAATATATTTTTTGTTTGTTTGGTAAGAAATTGACACATTATATTAAAACGTGTGATAAATGTGTTATCCATCAATAAAACTTGAATTATATGTGTTTTATAAATTGTTTTTTGTAATATGTATTAAAATTATATTATAAGTGTATCAAAAATGAAAAAAAAATATTATTATTATAAATGATAAATATTTTCTTTATATAATATATTTACGTAGGTTACCCTTTTTTATTTCGGAAGTTTAGGTGAACACATGACAACCCCCTAGATTTGCCCCAAGTTGGGTGGGTTTAAATGAATTCAATAATTTTCGACTCCAACTTTATATCATGTGTCGTGTATTCTTTCCAAAAACCACACTTAGTAATAATTAAGTACTTAATAGGTACAACAATAAGTATTTTTTGGGGGGTAATCGACGTATTTTTAAAGTTCAGATAGTCAATCAACCAAACGACTATTTATGAAGAATCTCTCTCACAAACAATAAGTTAACTCTAAATACAAAGAACTTAACCAAATTACGAGACTAGAAAATTCTAAACTCATAAAATTAAAATTCCGATTTCATATATATTTTTAAAAAAAAATTATTTCAATCCCCACATATGTTGTCCTATATTCTACATTCACTAACTTGCAATTTACTTAATCTTTTAAGAGTTTGCGCGGGCGGCGTTAACGGCCGTCAACTTTCCCTCCTCACATGAATTTCACAATACCTGATCGTTGACATTATAATACAGTTGGAGAAAAAAAAAAATATATATATATATATAAGGGGCATTTCAATCAAAATTAAGAAAGGTTGAGCAAGTGAAATACACAATCTTAATCAAGAAGAAGGCAAAGATCGATCATCGCTGAGTTTAAGTTACATATATGGCATCATCATCTAATGGTGGTGTTCCACCGGGGTTTCGATTTCATCCAACAGAGGAAGAGCTTCTTCATTATTACTTGAAGAAGAAGCTTTCATTTCATAAGTTTGATATGGAGGTTATCAGAGAGATTGACTTGAATAAAATTGAGCCATGGGAATTACAAGGTACATATTTTTTTTATTAATTAGCTATAAGAATTTAGTCGTTGTTGAATAATAGAAATTTTTCAATAATTCATCGATAAATCTATTTATATTGATGTTAATTATTACCAGTTAGCCACATAATTTATCCGTCTCTAAATTAAACTTTCTATTAGTTATATTATTCAAAAATTGATTAGTTTAACACAAACTGATTCTCACCAAACAAATTATTTATTACTATTAGATAGTTTATATTCTTGGATAACTAACTAAAACGAGATTAAAATTATAAATTATATAATCTCTCTTATTTAAAAGGTTTAAGTACTTATAAATAAATTATGTTTTTATTTATTTAAGTAAGAGAAAAAGGATAAATATACTCCTAAACTATCATAAATGGCATGCATATACCTTTCGTCATGCTTTGAGAATATTGGTGCCCCTGCTATCAAATAAACTAGAGCGCCTATATATATATATATATATGTATATACCCTTTATACTAACTGACATACACGTGTTATAATCTTATTCCACCAATCCTAAATTTATTAAATATCCAATCAATGGATAAGATTGTATCACGTGTCCCTGTTTAGTGTTCATTAGAGTGAAGGGCATATATGCTATAGTTTTTGAACGACACGAGCATCAATATCTCAAAAGTATATGTGACAGAGGGTATGTGCATACCATTTATTCTTTAATCAATTATATTTTTGATATCGGACATGAATTTAATTAGTAACTAGATGATTTCCATGTTAATATTTGATGATAATTCAGATAGATGTAATATTGGATCGACGCCGCAGAATGAGTGGTACTTTTTCAGCCATAAGGATAGGAAGTATCCAACAGGTTCAAGGACAAATAGGGCAACAAATGCTGGGTTTTGGAAGGCAACAGGGAGAGACAAGTGCATAAGGAACAGCTTCAAGAAAATTGGTATGAGGAAAACACTTGTGTTTTATAGAGGAAGAGCTCCACATGGACAAAAAACCGATTGGATTATGCATGAGTATAGACTGGAAGATGCTGACCAAAATCAAAATGTAAGTTCATCCGATCCTTAATTCTTAATAAAGACATGTACACCTTAATTCTTAATAAATTATTTTAATTAGATTTTTGTAGTTTTCTTTTGTGTGTTTTTTAATTTTATGTCTTTTGGGTAGTTGAGTTAACAATATAACTCAATTTCTTTAATCATACAAGTCATTCTCTTCAAACAAGTTGTAATATTCAGATATTTTTTTACTTGAGACTGATGCATTTAATTTAAGGAGATACTATATTTTATTTGATTAATTTGGCTATTGAATTAAAACACTAATGGAAGTTTTTCTTTTAAAATTTTGAACCAAAGTGTTTAATTTAATTAAAATTATAAAATTTAACTAAAACATGATTCAGTTCTACTTGTAAATAAAATATCCTAATAATTTTATAACGCTCGTTATATATTAACTTATTCCATCAGATATATGAGATACTTATCTCTTTATTATGATATAAATAGTAGGATATTTATTTCAAACATAACAATTAAATAAAATACAAAAAAATTATCTCATCACCATTTTATTATTTCATGACTATTTATTTTTATCTCTTACACCAAACGAGGAACCTAAGCCTAAAGAAAAACCTGTTGGTTGAAGTCTTTGCATGTCAAATTGCATACATGCAAGCATGTGTAGAAGTCAAAGTAAATTATAATAATGATTAATTAATTAATGAATATTTTCTGGATGATTGACTTACTTACCACAAAATCTTTGACTGTGAGGAATTCCCAGCTTGCATGCATGCTTCTAGGAATTTGTTATGCATAATAATGATCATATTTTAAATTGCTTAATTTTATTATGTCTCAGCGAAAATATCATTCCAAGAAAGTTATATATATACACATGTGTCTCTTCATGGCTATCTGGTCTTGTATATATATATTTCATATCTCTTCATGGCTATCTGGTCTTGTATATATATATTTCATATCTCTTCATGGCTATCTGATCTTGTATATATAAATTTCATAATTAATTTTATATTTTCTCATAGTAATCGCGTATATATATATATCTTTGACTATATATGTACTTTTCAAATGTGTGTAGGAGGATGGCTGGGTGATTTGTAGGGTATTCAAGAAGAAAAACCTATTCAAAATAACTGGAAATGAGGCAGCTTCATCAAGCCATCACCACCAACAACCAACCAACAACTTCACACACAAAGACAATAATCATGATCATAGCCCATATCTACTACACCAATTACCACAACACCATGACCAACATCATGACTTAAACTATTCCCAAATCCCAGTTGCTACTACTCTCGCGCCACACGAATACTATTCACACAACAACAACAACATTGAAGTAGCACAAAACTTGATCAAGTCATCATCACTGGGATATCATCAACATCATCATCCTCATGAATTCTCATCATCAGGTGCTGATCAATCAGCGCCTTGTGAGTCTGGCTTAGAAGTAGCAAGCAGTAATGATCATCAATGGGGAATTAATATTGATTCATCTAAAGTTGCATTAGGGATGGGATTTGAATCTAATCAAATCAATCATCAACTTCCTATGCGTGGAGAAATGGACTTTTGGAGTTACGGAAAATAATACACACACACATGACACAACTATTAGTATTAATTCTTTGTAATAATATATATATATATATATATATATATATATATATATATATATATATATATATTATATATATA